CCCACCTGAGCCCCTAGTTACCCACCTGAGCCCCTAGTTACCCACCTGAGCCCCTGGTTACCCACTGTGCCCCTAGTTACCCACTATGCCCCTAGGTACCCACTGTGCCCCTAGGTATCCACCTGAGCCCCTGGTTACCCACCTGAGCCCCTAGTTACCCACCTGAGCCCTTGGTTACCCACCTGAGCCCCTAGGTACCCACTGTGCCCGTTCCCACCAGGCCTTTCTTCCGTTATGGGAGGGACTCGGGGAACAGTGTGCTGACCCCTGGCCAGGAATGGACGGACACACAGGGCACAGACTAGTTCCAATTCCACTGCAGCAGGAGGTGTGAGCTCCAGGCCACAGGGAATGACAGTGGGGCTCAGGGAGGCCCCCCCGGGTGGCCTCGGGTGTGGGGGGGACCCTGAGCTTTCAGGACACTGGAGAGAGGCGGCAGGAAGCTAAAGGTAGTGGCAAGTCTGGGGTAAGGAGTGGAGCGGTTTACCTGCCAGCCCTCCTGGACCACACATGTCTGGCCTAGAGCCATAGGGCAGGCCCTGAAAGTCCCTCTGCCACCCAGCATCACCGTCCCCTCCCGGGGACCCTGCCCTAGCCCCCATGCCCCATGCTGGCAGACCCCAGGAATGGAGGCTTACCGGAACAGGCTTGGGGTGAAAAAACTTCGACTTCGGCTCCTTGGGGCTCTCGGTGAGCTCGGGCTTCCCCTGCAATTCTACGGACTGGACGGGGCCACAGGGGGAGAGGAGGCGGGCCAGGCACTCCTGCCGAGGTGGGGGGAACAGTGTGAGGGCTGCAGGCCCTTCCAGGAGCCTCCCTCCGCCCCTGGAGATCCAGTATCCCAGGTCTGTGCCCGAACTGGGGACACGCAGGGAGGGCCTGGGCAAGCCCCAGCCTCAGCAGGGGTTCAAATCCTCTCCTCCCAGCGCCAGGGACAGAACCTTGTCAATTTACACGTTGAAACGGGTAAGAAGCCACCCCTCCACTGGCAGGGCCTGAGGAGGTGGGGGAGACGGAATTCAGGCGTAAGCTTTCTGGCTTTGTGACAGGATCTTGCGGGAGCACATGCCCAGAACGCACTGGCTTTCTCACCAAAGTGAAGGGATTTCTCATTGGAAAGTACATCTTGCTGAAAGATCAGTCTTTCCTATCAATTTCTCCGGGTAATGATACCGAAAGAGGGATTAGGTTCTAAATTTCTTTTTAAAATTACTAGCCAACTGGCCAAGTAGCTCAGTTGGTTAGAGCATTGTCCCAATCTGCCAAGGTTGCAGGTTCGATCCTGGGTCAGGGCACATCAAGAATCAACTCCCTTTCCCTCTCTCTAAAATCTATAAACAAATGTTTTATTTTTTATTTTATTTTATTTTTTTAAAATATATTTTATTGATTTTTTACAGAGAGGAAGGGAGAGATAGAGAGAGTCAGAAACATCGATCAGCTGCCTCCTGCACACCTCCCACTGGGGACGTGCCCGCAACCCAGGCACATGCCCTTGACCGGAATCGAACCTGGGACCCCTCAGTCCGCAGGCCGACGCTCCATCCACTGAGCCAAACCGGTCTCGGCTATAAACAAAAGTTTTAAATGTAAAAAGAAAAAAAAAAATTATTGCAAGAATAGGTGGGGACATTTTTGGTGTTATTCCTAGTATTCTGATTTTATGAGCCAACCAAGTAAGTTTTACCACCTGAATCCACCTTATAAAAACAGAGTGAAACCTGTGCTGCTGGAATCGGGGGCGGGGAGGGGGGGACGAGGGATCTCTGGGTGCGGGTGATGCTGCTTCTCAGTTTGTGAAATGCTGTGGGCTGCACACTTCTGGCCAGGCCTTCAGTAAAGGCTAAAAATGGCACCCTCTCCTCTTAATGGTTTTTCTCTCTTTAATTGTAAGCGTCTAGCCCAGCCAGCATGGCTCAGTGGTTGAGCATTGACCTATGAACCAGGAAGTCATGGTTCCATTCCCAGGGCACATGCTGGGGTTGTGGGATTGATCCCCAGTGTGGGGTGTGCATGAGGCAGCCGGTAGATGATTCTCTCCCATCATTGATGTTTCTATTTCACCCTCTCCCTTCATCTCTGAAATCAATAAAAAATATATATATTTTAAAAACTGTAATAGTTTAGAAACTTATTTCTTTTTTGAAAAAACAAAATTAGTTTCTCTTCTGTAAAGTTATATAATACTAAATTTACCAACTTTGTGGAGAAAAAATAGACATGTGGAGAAAAAAATCTAGATAGATTTAGAAGTATATTTTCTTACAGTTTTCCTATCTTTTACTATGGACAGGGGAAAACAGCATGCAGTTGAAATAATTCTAGGTAATAAAAAACTTTGGGCTCCTCAAAATTAATATTTTTAAAAACACACCTTTAGCCCGGCCGGTGTGGCTCAGTGGTTGAGCATCGACCCATAAACCAGGAGGTCATAGTTCATTTCCCAGTGAAGGCACATGCCCGGGTTGCGGACTCCCCGTGTGGGGCGTGCAGGAGGCAGCCGACCAATGATTCTCTCTCATCACTGATGTTTCTCTCCTGCTCTCCCTCTCCCTTCCGCTCTGAAATCTGTAAAAACTATTAAAAAACACATCTCAGGAGAGAGGCTGCCCTCTGGATGCCCGCCCTTGGGGCTCAGGCCTTGGTGGGGGCAGTGGAAGCACGGCTCTGCCCAGAGCCCCACCCGAGCCCGCGGCTGCCTCCCAGACACCAGCTCACCTCTGTGCAGTAAGGGGGCACATTGAGGACAAAGAGCGTCCTCTTCTGAGGCCAGGAAGACTTGGCGCCGTCTCGAACTCTGTGCTCTCTCATGTACAGGTAATGGGAAGCCGTCTGCTCTTCAGAGAACTTGATCGGAACGGCTGGAAGGAAAATGGGGCAGGAAAGATGGCATGAACGTCAGGGTCAGGCTGCCCCTTTCTGGTCCCATCTGTCTGTCCACCCGCCACCCACCCCTCACTGAGCCCTTCCTCTAGGCGAGACCTGTGCAGGGTGCTCTTCGGTCTATGACAGTATTTGAGCCAAGAATCTGCCCACGAGGGGCCCCGAGCTAACAGAGGAGGCAATGATTACAGGTGGGGAGTGAAACGAGGAAAGTGTGAGGTAAACACCGAAACCCTCCCCGTGGCCGGAGCCCAGCTGGTGCTGACCCCTCTGTGGCCTTTTCTCACCCCCTCATCCCGCCACCAGCTGGCAGGCCACTCTGCCTTCTCTCAGTTCCTCCAACTCCCGGGCCTCACACACCTGTACCCTCTACCGGAAAGAGCAACCCTCTCCTCTCCACCTGTCCTTCAAGTTCTCACTACCTGCCAGCTGAGACCCGCCTGCTCTGTGCCTGCACAAGTTCTCTTACGGTCCTACGTCTGTATTTGGAGGATTATTTGGGAAATCGCTCATATTCCCATGCATTTTAATTCTCATAAAATCAGGGGCTGTTTTCGGTTCCTCCCACCACCTTCTTCAGAGCACAGGGGATGCAGCTGCAGCCCCGCACTCAGCAGCTGCCGTGGCAGTAGGGAGACAGGGAACAAGCATAAAAGGAGGCTGTACCAGATAGGAAAGAAACGGGGAGGCAGCACAGGGGATGGTGGCAAGAGGCTGCCCTCTGGGTGCCTTAGGTAACCATCCCGAAGGCTTCCTGGCGGAAGGGAATGAGCCGCAGTCCGGGCACAGCGGGTGGCGGAACTCTGAGAAGGGGCCACACCAGGTGCAAAATCCCTGAAGAGTAAAGAGCTTGCTGCCTCAGCGGAACAGAAAGCTGGAGCTAATGAAGGTCTGCACCCGCCAGAACACGTGGGGCCACGGGGTCAATGGTAGCCAGTTGGGGTTTTACTTCAGGCGCTAACTGTAGCCACCGGAGAGATTTGGGGGTGCGGTAGGTGTGAGGGAAAATCTGATTTACATCTGACTTTAGCCCCGGCCGGTGTGGCTCAGTTGGTTGGGCTTCCTCCCCGGCACCGGGAGGTTGCGGTCCGACTCCCGGTCAAGGGCGCGTGCGGGGGTGGCGGGCTGCAGGCTGATCCCCCGTAGGGAGCGAGCGAGAAACAGCACATCGACGTTTCTCTCTCTCCCTCCCCCTCGCTCTAAAAATCAATAAAGATAATTTAAAAACAAAGAGAAAAACAGACTTCTAGATGCAGAGAACAGACCGGTGGCTGCCCAAAGGGAGGGGTTTGGGCACGGACCCGCCCAGGTGAGAGCTGCCGGGGCCGGACTCGGAGCCGCAGAGGCAGCGGGGAGAGGACGTGCTCCCCGAGGGGGGCAGGTGTGGGGCCCGCCCCGGGGAGCGTGTGGACAGAGGCGGGTTCGCCAAGGGGGGCGCTGGCCAAGGTGGGCTCGTCCCGGGAGAGGCTATGCAGGGAGCCGCGTGGGCCTCACGCCCTGCCGGGCCACGCCGCCCCGAGCCGCCTCTGGGCGAAGCCTGGCTGTACCCGGCCCCGCACCTGTCCCGCGGCCTCTCGCCAGTCCCGCGGCCCCTCACCTGAGTAGCCCGGGGGGCTCGGAATCCCCTCTTCGGCGTCCCGCGCCGCACGCTTCCTCCTGCGCGCCACCATCTTGCCGGCCGGAAACCGCGCGGGCCGCTGGGAGTTGTAGTTGGGCGCTGGGAGCTACGTGTTTCCATGACAACGGCGCCGCGTGGGGTTCCCACCCTTTCTTGGGCCACTTCCTTCCTTGGGCAGAATAAAGTCAGTACATAAATGTGGAAGTAAACGAGGGCGTGGACGGGTCGTCCAACCGGGGTGTGATCTCTCTCATCATTGATGTTTTTCTCTCTCCCTTTCCCTTCCTCTCTGAAGTCAATAAAAAAATATATTTTTTAAAAAGCACCGTTTTTAATTTTGATGAATTTTTGTGGATACCCAGTTGCCTTTGAAATATTTTATTTTAGGGAATATGAACTTTTAAAAAAATTTTAAAATTTATTTTGGAGAAGGGAGAGAAATATCAATATGAAAGAGAAACATCAATCTGTTGCCTTCCGCATACGCCCCAACTAGGGATTGAACCCACAGCCTGGGTATGTGCCCCGACTGGGAATCAAACCAGCAACTTTTCAATGTGACATTCATCCAACTAAATCACACCAGCCAGGGCTGAACCATTTATTGAAAAGATGATTCTTTCCTGCACTGAATTGTTTGGCACTCTTGTTGACAATTAAATGACCAGGTAGATGAGGCATTATTTCTGGACTTTCCATTCTATCCCATTGATGTATCTATATATTTTTTTGAAATTTTAAAATTGAGTTTTTAGAGGGAGAGAAACATTGATTTGTTGTTCCACCTATCCGTGCACTCATTGGCTGATTCCTATATGTGCCCTGACCGGGATTAAACCTGAAACCTTGGCAGATCAGGATGACACTTGGACCAACTGAGCCACCTGGCCAGGGCTGATCTATATTTCTATCCTTACCCTAATACCACACTGTCTTGATTACTGTACCTTTGTGGTTAAGGTTTGAACTCAGAAGTGTGAGTCCTTCAACTCTCTTCAAGACTGTTTTGGTTACTTGGTTTCTTTCAATAATGTCTTGCAGTTTTCAAAATATAAGTTTTGCATTTATTTTGCTAAAACCTTTCTAAAAATATTTTTTATTGATTTCAGAGAGGAAGGGAGAGGGAGAGAGATAGAAACATCAATGATGAGAGAGAATCATTGATGGGTTGCCTCCGGCATGTCCCCTACTGGGGATCAAGCCCGCAACCCCAGACATGTGCCCTCGACTGAATGGAACCCAGGACCCTTCAGTCCTCAGGCCAACGCTCTATACACCGAGTCAAACCGGCTAGGGCTATTTTGCTAAATTTATGTATAAGTATTTTACTCTTTTTGACACTATGCTAAGTGGAATTTTTTTTTAATTTTAGAGGATGTTTATTAAAGCTGGGGACAGTGAAACAAGGAAATGAGCCTAGGCTGGGCTGCTTTGGCTCACTAAGAAGTCAGAGAAAAGGGGGCCTTGGGGACAGGTTCAGGGGGTGGAATCGTTTTCTTAACTTGATTTTTAGATTGTTCATTGCAATTATCACCAACGGATTTTGTACCCAGTAACCTTGCTGTTTATTTGGCTCTAGTAATCTCTTAGAGGATTACTTAGCATTTTCTGTATACCAGACCATATCGTCTACAAATACTTTTACTTCTTTCTTTCCAATCTGGATGCTTTTCCTTTCACCCTAATTGTCCTGGCTAGAACCTCTTGTACAATGTTAAATAGAAGTGATAAAAGCAGACATCTTTGTCTCTGATCTTAAGAGGGAAACTTTTACATCTTTAACCCAGGGATTCATTCCACGGTGACCAAAGAACATACTATAATTTCAGTTCTTTTACATTTGTTGAGATTTGTTGTATGGCCCAGGATATGATGTCTTTACATATGTTCCATGGGCATTTGAAGAGTGTGTATCCTGTTGTTGGGGAGTATTCTGATTGGATCCTGTTGGTTGATGGTGTTAAATTCTACATCCTTGCTGATTTTCTTTTAATTGTTCTACCAGTTGTTAAGAGGTGTTGGAATCTCCAAGTAAAAATGTGGATTTTCTGTTCCTTCCATTCTACTAGGTTTTGCATCATGTTTTGTAGCTCTGTTGTTTGGTGAGTACATATTTAGGATTGTCTTCTTGGTGCAATGAACCTTTTTTCATTATGTAATGTCCTCTGTACCTGGTGATTTTTAAAAAAATATATTTCTATTGATTTCAGAGAGGAAGGGAAAGGGAGAGATGGAAACATCAGTAATGAAAGAGATTCATTTATCGGCTGCCTCCTGCACGCCACCTATTGGGGATTGAGTCCACAACCCTGGGCATGTGCCCTTGACCAGAATCAAACCTGGGACCCTTCAGTCCACAGGTGGATGCTCTATCCACTGAGCCAAACCGGCTAGGGCTGTACCTGGTAATTTTTGTTTTTTAATTATATTCAGTTGGACAGCAAAGTGCTTGGTAACTTTCTTTGCTCTGAAGTCTAATGTACATGATATCAAATATACAGTCCTCAGGTTACGTCAGACTCGACAAATGTCGTTTCATGGCCATCTCCCACTTATTTATATTAAAAAAATTCCATCATTTCAACGTATGTACATATGTGCTTTATGTTTTTTATTATTTACCATGAGTAAAGGTCAGGAATTATCTTTTAAATTTTTTTACTGTTTCACTTCATTTCTGCTGTGTATGTGCTCCATGTGAATGATGTAGGTACTTATGTAGGTGGGTTCTGACTTACAGCGAAAAGCGCCATGGGAACAGATCTCTGACATAACCCGAGGACCTACTGTAGTTATTTTGCCACTTCTTTTTTGAGTAATGTTTGCATATTTACCATTTTCCCATCCTTTTACTTTCAACCTACTTATACTGTTATATTTGAAGTGAGTTTCTTGTGGATAGCATATAGTTAGGTCACATTTTTTCATCCACTTTGCCAATTTGTCTTTCAACTGACAGATGTATTTGACTTCTCTACAGTGTTTTTGGGTGCACTGCTTATCATTTTAGTTGTCAGTCCAATAATTACATTATACGTTACAATACACTTTGTCCAAATTTTACCAGTTTGAGAGAATTGTGGAAATCTCCCGTTTAGATCCCTTTGCTCTCTCCCATTTATAAAGCCATTGCTTTAAGTATTTCCTATGTTGAAAACCACATCGATGTTATAACATTTGCTTTAATAATCAACCATAATTTAGAAAACTGGAGAAGGCAAGTATTTTATTTACCAAGGTTTTGCTATTTCTGTTGTTCCTTCTTTTGTGATATTCTAAGTTTCCTTCTTAAAAATTTTTTCTTTATGTTTAGAGAACTTCAACCATCTTTTCAGGATAGGTCTACTGGCAACAAATTCTCCTACTTTTTCTTCATCTGAGAATGCCTAAATTCTCCCTAATTCCTGAAGGATATTTTTTGCTGGGTATAGATTCTTTGTTGACAGTAATTTTCTTTTGCTACTTGGTAAATGTACCATTCCTCTGACCTCATGGTTTCTGATGAGAAGTGTCACTCAAATTTTTTTCCCTACAGGCATCATTTCTCTTGCTGCTTTCAGGATTATTTTTAGTTTTCCTAAGTATCCTTGACTATGCAGGGTCCTGGTGTGACTTTCTTTGGGTTTCTCTTGAGGTCCTGTGAGATTCTCGAATCTGCAGCTTTATATCTCTTGCCATTTCTGGGGAGTATAGTGGTGGGTTGCCAGGGGCTGGGGAAGGAAGAATGGGGAGTTATTGGTTGCACAATGTGCATGTATTTAATACCAATGAAATGTACACTTAAGAATGGTTAAGTCAGCCCTAGCTGATTTGGCTCATCGGATAGAGCATTGGCCCGTGGACTGAAGGGTCCTGGGTTCAGTTCTGGTCAAGGGCACATACCTGAATTGCAGGACTGATCCCTGGCCCTGGTTGGGGTGTGTGCGGGAGGCAACCAATCAATGTGAGAGATGTTTCTCTCGTCTCTTCTCCTCCTTTTCACTCTCTAAAAATCAATGGAAGTCCAGCTGGTGTGGCTCAGCAGTTGAGCGTCGACCTATGAACCAGGAGGTCACGGATGCTCGGTGTTGCAGGCTCGATCCCGTGGGGTGTGCAGGAGGCAGCCATTCTCTTACTGATGTTTCTCTCTCTCTCTCTCTTCCTCTATCAAATCAATAAAAATAAAGGGTGTCCTCGGGTGAGGATTAACCACCACAAAGGAATGGTAAAGTCAGTAAAATGTAGTGTATTCATGAGGCACTTCAGGTCCAGGAGGTAGTGACTGTGCCAGGTGCTCCCACAGACACCCTGCTCACATCCTCTCAGCCGTGGAGAATCAGGTTCGGTGAGTGCTGTGAGGAACTCTGCTCCAAGGCCGGAGGTGGAAGTAGGAAAGCCAAGGCAAATGCCTGCCTCTGGTTATTAAGGCCACTTAGTAAAGCTTTTAAGAAATGACAGCTCAGAGGTAGGAATAACAAACATTTATTCAGAAATGTATAAGTAACAGAGTCTCTTCCATCCCTTAATGCCTCTTCCTCTTCTTTTGAACAAAAGAGACACAGATGGGGAACGCGGGGGAGCGGGAAGTTAAGAGGGACACGAGGATTGGCCCACCACCTTCTCTTCGATGCCATCCTGTAGACTAGGGGAGACAAACGGGCTTCACCCCACAATGTACCACATGGCTGTCCAGAGACCGGGTCCAGGTGACCAGGTGGCTGCAGCTAGCTCAACAACACTCTGCTCCCAGAGCGGCCTGGCCTGGGACTGGAAGGGGGGGAGGGCAACACCACGTAGGCAGGATGTTTACCACCTCTGCTCGGGGCAGAGTCTGAGCGTGGCCTACTGTGCTCCGGGCCCCAGAACGAGGCCCTACGCCTTGGATGCTCCCTTGGGCCAGGAGTTTTGGGAAAGTGTAGGAGGAATGTCTTCCAGCTGCTGAGAACTACATTTGCACCCGTTTAAAGGGGGAAAAGGGAACAAGAACTGCATTCTTTACGTTACCATAAAGGGAGCACCACCAAGCACATTCCTTGGACTTGCCGGGCCTGCACAACCTCGGAGCTGGAGGACGGAGCTGGGTTCAAACCCCAGGCCTTCCTGCTGGACAGACTGAACTCTGAACTTAAAGGTTTGTCTTCACTGTGCTGGCCCCAAGCAGGTCACGAGAGGCTTAG